CATGTTTTAATACATATTTGGGAATGCACTACTGAAAACTCCAACCTACTATGATACACATACCCAAACAGAAATGTATAGATAAACTTAAAATAATTTCTACAAAATTACTTAGTTTTAAGGTAAGGACAAGCCACATCTCCCCGACTGTGGAGCTGCACTCTTTGGAGCAAACTCAGACACAAAACATGCCACCTCATAAAGTGCAGAACCTGCCTCCCAGAGCCTGTTGCTATCAGCTGTCACTGCACTTCACAGGCAAACAAAATTATTTAGGATGAATCTTTTGACAAATTTAACTTGTTTCTCTGCTTGTGAGCAGAATAATTTAAAAAAATATATTTCCTTGTTGATCTTCATAGAGTATACAGATAAATTTCAGCCTTAAGCAGGTGTTCCCTGTGCTTTCACTTTCCTAAAATAATGCTTCGTTGCCCTGATAAGAAGAACATACATTAACAGAAAATGAGCTAAGAAAGTTTGATCTTCTCTGGTGAGAAGCCATTTATCAGATTAGCAATTTTTACTTACAGCAGTTAAGCACACAGAACATAAACTACACAAAGCAGTAAGAATAATGTATTTTGACACAACCGGCCTAGTAACCCAAGGCCTAGTGTTTGAAGGGAAAGCTCAGTGTAGTTTTTCATTTCTTTGAAATAGGCTTTCTGATTTCAGTACAAGCCATGGTAAGTGACTGGAGATGGTGAAATCCACAGCACACATTATAATCTCTAGCTTCAAACTGCTTGTGAAATTTGGAAGAAAAAAAAGTAAGAGGCGCATACTCCCCAATGGAAGGGAGGACAACTGATGGCAATCCGATGAACACGTACATGCAGAAAGAAAGCAGAACTCGGTACGTACATGTCGGCGCTAGCCTATGTCCTTTTGAGCAGGCTTCAGCAGCAGCATCACACAAGCTCCCCCCACCAGCCTAGGGCCGCCCGGGCACCAGCGATGAGAGCTCAACCCCTTCCGCTGAGGCAGAGCGGCGCGGAGGAGAGCGGAGGTACTGCGGCTGCCCGCCGCCGCAAGCTGCAGGTTCTCAGTCCTGTGCCAGACTTGCTAGCAAGAAGCTGTTATATGGTAAAATAAACTAATATCTAAAAGCTGTGCATCACACGTCAACATGTTGATTCAAGATAAAATTACATTCTGGAATACATTTGTTCTTAAGATTTGAGAAAGAAAATCTCTTCACATATGCACTGAGCTCACTTATTTTTGTCTTTGAGTATAACACCACCTCGTGGTTATCCTACTCCCCTGCATGGATATTTAGTTGGCCTTTTATGCAATATTTTAATAGCTTGGTTCTGTACTTCTAACTCAACGTGGGTGTTAGGACGTATTACATGTTTCCTCTTTTCTAGACACCTTTTTATGTGCAAAAACTTGAGTCACAAAGCTTTGGAAAGTGGCTCCATCCAGATACAGACTGAAAATGTGTTCCGCATCTTTGAAGGCCACAGTGGATTAACTAGTATTTTCTACTTTAATGTTTGTCATTATCAAATGAATTTTTCATTTCTTTCAGAACAGTAAAAATGACAACTAGAGTAAATATTTGTCTGCATATAACATAAAAGGATCTCATGCTGGAGCCCAATTGCTAGGCTGGAGTAAAAGACTCAGAGACTCACACTCAAGTGTTTGTCCTAGCTTAGGAATGGTAGCAATGTAAGCTGTTTAAGAAAACCAAAGTATTTACAATAGCAAATGTACTCTCTTCAGTCTTGTATCAAGTAGGGAGATACATTTAAGGAATAAACAACAAGCAGCTGCAGTCCTAGAAAATGAAGCGATTCTGAGTTTGACATTAGGTCCCTCATAGCTGTCAATTTCCAAAAATACAGAGGGATAACAAATATGCAAACCCGATGCCCTAGCTGCAGGAGCTGACCTTGAAGACCCTGAGTGGAATGAGACAGAGGAAACCCAATGATTTGCAAAACATCACCCGGGGGCAACTGAAAAGTAATTACTTCAATATGTGTACTTTCAACACAGCTATTATTAGAGGCTGTGATTTTGTGTATAAACCACCTGTATTTACTAGCCAGTTGTTAATAAGATACTACACTTTGTAACATATGGATTTGCCACTTGTAAAATGTCAAAGCATGCAAATTTACAGCAGCTGTTACAAAATGCTAAGGCAGAAGCTAGAAAGATTCTAACATGATGGCAGTGTTATAAAGCAGGTAATGGAGCCAATTAAGAGGGTGGGAGAACCCTGCTAGTGGGAAATTTTCTTTGGCTGGTCCCCCACTGCCACCAGCATCTTCAAAACGCTGCTGCACCCTGTAGTAGTTATACTGCTAAAGTAAATGTGTGTGTGCTTTGCCATAGTAGGGACCTGTAACTGGATGAGGCAGGAAAAACTCCACATTGACAATAAGGTGCAAAGACTGAGGCTGGCAAAATACCTCCTACCATAGTCAAGGGCAAGACTGGTTTGGCCTCTGTGTTTGCCACCAAGAAGAACCTTTAGCTCTGCTGCTGGCTGCAACCCAGCAGGCGCTGACCAGTAAGGACACATGCCATGCCAGACCTTGATGTGAGGGATGGCCTCCCGTGTTATAAGAGGGCCATCCAGGAGAGAAGGGCAGGCCAAGCAGCCTGTGGTTGGCACGAGAGATGATCTAACCCAAACGCCCTGCTCAAGCAGGGTCATCTAACGCAGGTTTCATCATCCTCACAGAAAAAAAAAACAACAAACCAAACACACACACACAAAAACACAAGAAACCCACAACAAAAGTTAGCATAGAGATGCAATTCAAGCAGAACAAACAGAAATAACCACTTTATCTTAAGTAGTATTGCAAAACTGAATGGCCTTAGATATGTTATTAGCATCACAAGAGAGAGTTTGCTCTGTAATCAGTGACAGTTGTTGCTCTTACATAGATCAAAGTGTAAGAATCAAAACCAATTTAGAAAAAATTTGGAAGAGAGTTAGAGTGCTTCATGAGATGGCCAAAGATGACACTTCTTGGGGTTTTGAGGAGATGTAGAAAAAAAAGAAAATCAGCTTCCTGGTTACCTAATCTTTCCTGATTAAGGCAATTGTTTGTAGGAATACTGATGTTAATTATTATAATCTTAATCACTTGTGGCATGTTACAATGTTTTCTCTGGTGTTGCAAACAATCCATGATGAACTATGAAGAATGGAAGAGAAACAAAATTAAGCATCAAGTAGAAACAGGGAAATACTTCAGGAAACTTTAAATAAGAATGAAATAACTCAATTGCAAAAGAATTTGCAATAGGACAAGAAAAGGGGGGATTGAAGAATGGGGTTGACTGAAGAATGGGGTTGTAAATAAGTAACTTCAAGGACTTTAGGCTTTGTTAGCAACTAACATAATAAAGAAATGGCTAAGATAAGCATTGCACAAGAACTGGCCAAAACTGGCCTGGTGGTTACTGACATGACAACGATCCTGAAATGAAGTAATAAGGATGATGAAGAAATAACCACTGGGCGTCCCAAAGCCCACTACCACATTTTAGTGTGCACGCGGGAGGAATGCTCTAGAAGTATGATGTAATGTATAAGTAACTCCATGAATATGTATGCAATCTAATGAATATGTATGTTTAAGGACAATATAATCACAGCCTGGTTGATGCTCAGATGAGACACGCTAGAAAGAGCTATCCCCCGTGTCTCCAGGCACTGCAAGAAAGAATACCTGCTTGTCAACTTCAACTTTGTTGGCGAGTTCCTGGAGATTTCTCCGAATCAGAAGACTCCACCTTCTGCGATCAGTCACAGGCTGAGTGTCTTCTCCCCAAAGGGCCACCTATTGATCTTAAACTGATCTTATACATGCCCAGTAACTTACACCAGCTGTTATTAGTGATTAGATCCGGGTAGTGTATCACTTCAGTCTTGTTTTTGCAGAGTCCCTATCACTGGCAATTTGAACTTTATCCTGTCACAAACTTGTATTTTATCAAACTTGCCTGAGTCAGTGCAGACAAGCAATGTATCACAGAGACATGATGAGGAAATCCTATCAACTCCTGTTGATCCAGCATGGTTTTAACAGCTACTTCTGGTTTAATGGCTTTAGCTTCACTAGCTATATTTTTCAATATGTGGATGAACAATTAATTACTGATGAAAAAACAATACCCAGTTTCAAAGCACAAATTCATGCCAGTGCACTGCTCCTATTGCTTAGTCTCCAAAACAAGAAATAAACCAAAAAAACTCATCACAGTAAATGATATTATCCTTAGATTTTCTTATTTTTTTAGCCCGAAACACTAACAGCTAAACATCATACTCAAGGAGGTGCATATGAATGTATACTCGGAATCATCTAGAACATGTTGCACAGCTACAACTGTACCGTTCACCTGTTATAAAAAAAGGTAAAAATCATCTTCCTCCTCCTTCCCACTCCCTAATCCCACAACAAAAGTCAAACTGAAGAGAAAAAGGCAAAATCAAGAGAAAGGAAATAATTTATTAGAAATTTCACAAGCAAACTAACATTCATTTGTCCTGTAAATCTTGTGACAGCTTAAAGATAACTGGAATCTTTAATATGAGAAAATTTATACTCTGCCTTAAATACTTTGGAAAGGCCACTACGCACAGTTCGAAAGTCCTGAAGATTACACTGTTCTTCCCCCAGCTTGGTAATACTTGAAAGAGATGGAACACAAAAGGGACCTGGAACATCACAAAGGCATGTTAAAAGTAAGATCAAGCAGGAAAATAGTAGTGCTATGCTTTCTTTTAACAACTAAATTGAAAGATACCTGGCATTTAAAAAAATCGTTGAGTGTCTGAAAAAAATCTGACTTGATACAGGCTGTATTAATTTTATATTACAGTAAATTAAATGCCACTATAATATGAAACCCATAAGAAAATAGAAGTCACTGGCAACACTATTACCTGCAGTGCAGAGAACAATTAAAAAAATAAAAAACCCCGACATAACAAAAAGGTCAAAGGTAGCAGCGATTAATAGCTCCATTCCAAATATTTCACTGTGAGATATTGTTAGATTTTCTTCTTTACTCAAGAATGAAACAGTAAGGAACATACAAACTAAGTCAATTACAGATTGTTTCTCATATACCAGGACAACAACCTAAAATATTGTTCAACCGTCTCATATCACTAAGAACTGCTCTGCAACATTTTTAACCAATATATTATTATTATTATTATATTTGAAGAAAAACAAGACAACATCCAGTGTGAGTTCAGCACAGCTCCACATACATTAGTGGAGCATTAGCAGAACATCAGCTCATACAAGCTAATGAATTGGACCAAATTAGCAAGTTATAAGACCTTTGAGGAGGAAGGTGGAGGCCACCTTTTAAGACTAAGAACCCCTATTGTATCTGTTCACTCTGGACAGTCAACTCAGGGATTTTTCTTTTTCCTCTGAGAAGGTGCCCTTTGCTTTTAAAGTTACCAGGTTAGTTCAGGCACTAGAACATACAAACTCCCCACACCTGCCCTATACCAAAACTTAGATGTAGTTGAGTGCTACAGGAAACATTGTACAAAAAAAGGATACAACAAGAAAGGATACACTCTGCATGACAGTATTACTGCAGTATTTTACGCAGGAATGTTTCTAAAGAAGAACAGCAGAATGTGGTTTAATTTTACTTGATTCTCAGTAATGCATACACATAACTTTATGCTACCTATCAAAAGCAAGTACGTGTGTCTGATAAAATACAATTCTGCCCCCTTATAAGATTTAATGATGGCTGAGGAGTCCATCAACACTAAACTCCATATTCAAAAGTAAATACATTTTTTGATAACTGTAACTACTAGGACAACATCAGATTTTTCTGCCTCATTAATTCTCCTTCAATGATCTTTGCCATTTTACAGACTCACTTTTTCCATCAGGTCCAAAACCCAACCACGTTTCCATTCAAGGAAGGCTTTCAAGTCACTTCTTCCCTGTGAAGAAGCTGGAAACCTCTCAACACCAGTTTCTTCTACAAAACCCTTCTCCCCAGAAACTGTATTTTAGCTACAGAAAATATAGCCACCCCAAGTACTAACTGAAATTTCTGCTAGTCTGTCAAGAAAAAGACATTTTCAGCCAATGAGTTACACAGTATTTTCATAAACCATAAGTAGTACTTTATCTACAAAGTATAAAACCTTTGTAGAGAAAATATGAAAGAAAATTACATTTACATTCGTAAAGTTAACACAGCTTCTCCCTGTTTAGAAGTAACCAAAAATTAAAAACACACACACTGCCCACTCCCCATGATACAGATCAAATGTGAAGCCCCTTAAAAGTTTGCATAAACTTGTTTATATGCATATTCATGTTTCAAATGAGATTCTGACACTGTTTTTCCTTGCAGACTCAGCTTTCTGCCATGGAATTTTGCATCAAAAATCAACATCCATCAGAATATTCCAGCAGGAACAGGAGAAGAGAGTCATGCAGAAATAGGATTCAGTTTCATCAGTAGTTTTGAAGGGAAATTAACATTTTTAATTAAAACCCATGGATTCCTAGAAATCTGTATTAGTCTATGATGCATTCTGTGCTCTTTATATGCAAAGTCAAAGTAATGAAGTTCTGCCCTTGACACATCAAACACTGACATCAGGGTAACTCATGTAAGAGTCCCAGGTGCACAAACAAGTCTTGCATACATATGTGTTTGCTCACTCTAAAAAAAGCTTATGAGTTGATGATCAACATGATTAATAACCAATTACTTTGTTATTTTCCTTATGTATCCTTAAAGTATTACTTAGCACGTTCAGCAAAGTCAGAATTGGATTTAAAGTACAAAACTAGTTGGAAAGATTCTGAATTCCTAAAAGAATAAAAATGTTCAGAATTCATATAAAAGGCTTTCCAATAGCTAAAACACTTCAAGCTGCTTCTTGTATTTAAAGAACCATTAGTAATTTTGTGATTTTTTTTTGATTAGACACTAGATAAAATGACAGAAATACAAGTGGCTTTTTTCTAACAAGGAAGGAGAAAAACAAGACTGAAACATTCCCCTAAACCCTTGTTTCTAACAGAATACTTTAGCCAAGGCTCATTCATCTCTTTTCAATGACCAGTACAGAATAATGCCTGTAAAAAACATGATCTTTAATCCGACAAAATACAGATTTTGTAAACCACAGATCAATAATTCAAAATAGGAACTCCTGAGACCAAACAGCATCTCAGAAATGAGCACGACAAGCTCAACTACAATCTGATAAAAAAAATCCTTAGACAACTGACAGAACAAGAAACCTCTAACAGAAGTAACTGTTGGAAATACTACTCTCACAATAACCATACTGTGGGGTCCCCAACCAATTTTTAAAAATCAAAACCAGCTGTTAACATCCTTTATTTCAAACTTCAAGGCTTCCCCCTCCCCCCCCCCCCCCCCCCCAAGCTACAACAATGAAAACATCCAGATTAAAACCTATCCTGGATTAAGTGGAATGTTTCAGAAGCATTCAGCCTAAACTTTGAGTTTGTTTAGTCTTAGGTAGAAGAACCTTAGTGATGCCTAACAGTAATCTGTAAGGAAGTTAAATCCCCTTTAAATTTGAGGTAAGCGATCTATTAGAGGGTGCAGATTGAGAAATGAATGCTTCTAATTTTTGCACCAGTTACTTCACGTGCTAATTTGAGACTGTTCACTAATCAAATATTTTCAGGGCATGAAACCCCTGAAAGTGAAATTAGAACTGATTTTACTTGAGTTACATAAAGCAATAAGCTAAAAGTAAGCAATAGTGAAGTAAAGTTATATGACAGGAAATAAAGTTACATATTAATTAATTTCTGCTGAAAGTTAGTTTCCCATTAAGTTTAGACAACAATGCGAAAAATCAGGACCTACGCATTCCACAACAAAGGAAGACTTGATTAATGGCAACATTAAGCAGCACTTTCTGACAAAATACCCTTTCCTAAATCAGGATGTGGCAAGAGCACTAAGATCTCATTTCCCAAAATTATCAAAGCCAAAGGTTCTTTACACAGCTACCAGAAGTAAGTTTATTGCTGGAAAAGTTCTTCAGGATCACTTTATAGTGCTGGGGACAGAAGTGAAGGAGAAGAGAGGCAACTCTCTTCAAAGCCAAAACTCCGGAAGATTACTAAAAGATTAATGGTCCAATTTCACAGAATTATTATCCTTAGCTCCCCTTAGACTAACAGCTAGAGAAACTGACAACTACTCTTGGATATGAGAATTAGGGAAACAGCAGTTTCTGAGTTTCTAAACGGACTAAGGAGCAACGTGTTAAACTCACACCAACTATATACCTTGCATTCTGCTTTTCTACTATTAATGCACATTTAAGAGAATGAAATTGTATGGAACACTTCCCCTCCACAACACTATTCCTAAAGAGCCATTATATAAAAATAAACACTCCCCCCCCCCCCCCCAAAAACCAAAAAACACAACACCCAAATAAAACCCAGCCTATTTCTTTATTTTTATTTTCAGGAAGGAAACCATACCTTGTGGATGGTTTTACTTTTTTCTTTTCCCTTCATTGGCATCCTGTTTTGGTCTAGCTGAACGAGCAAATTGCTGCAATTCTGTTAAGGACTAAAAGTGTCACTGGTAAACAGAAGTGAATCAAGAAGAAAAAAAGAAGTATTATTTCAGCAACAGATAACAGAAGTGGCCTTTATCTGTGAATCAATTCTAGTACAGAATATTACAACAAGAGTGGCTATTAGTTAAAGATTAGGACCTCACTGATTTGCAGTATAAAAACATTTTAAGAGCTCCTGTCCAAGCGATTACAATACTAAGTAAACAAGAAGGACTAATCAGGAATGGATTAGGTGCAAACAGAATAACTATAGCAAGATAATTACTTGATATTTACAATCCTCCATCCTAACATGTTATTTTCATAACTTTGATGTTTCAGTAGGTATTTGGGAGGGAAAAAGGTAAAAGGAACAGAGGCTGGGGTGAACACTAGCACACATAAAGGAAATAAACTATGAAACGTTTAAGTGAATAAGAAAGGACTTGCAGACAAAAAAAACAGGGCAATACAACAAAAGTGTTGAAATCCCAATGTGCTTCACAGGCCCAAAAAGCAACTGACAGTTCCAGCTGCAGAAGCAGTCTAAATAAATTCTATAAGCAAGTCAAAAGGCTTACTTAATTAAAACAAATTCATCATGCAAGTTAAATTATCTTTTGTATTGTTTTTGCAGGATCAAAGAGGTAAGACCAAGGAATACGATTTTAATTATCTTCGATAAACTACAGTTAATTTCCTATTTCAGAAGGTATGCCCCAATATATTTTTTAGTTATACAAAAATTAACGATCATATGCTATGCTGCCTGGTTTTCTTAAGGTATTTCCTCTTTCCACAGACTTCTAATAAGTTGAACACTATGACAGCAAAAGTAGAGGTTGACAGACAGATTACAAATGATATAATGTAAATATTTGAAGAAAAAGATACAACCACCATGGGTTTTTCAAATAAGACATATCCATTTGCTTCGTTTAAAGCTTTAGCAGCTGCTTTTTCATTAGGAAGTCCAATGAAAGCCTGTCCCTTCATACGGCCTTCTTTCATCAAACGTATATCAAACCTAGAAGCAAAATTGAGAATTGGGACTCACTCATGTTTAACCACACTTTCACATTTCACAGTACAAATATAACCTTCATGCTTCAAGATGGAAAAATAGCAGAAATGGAAGCAGAGCCTACAAGCAGGGATTATATTACTAGGGAGGACCATTTTGCCTGGGGGATTAATTTACTAAAAAGTGACATTAGTCTGCAGAATGGCAAACTGATGTGCAACTGCAGTAAACGACATATGCAAAGTGATCACACACACAATCATTTCCACTGTTTATTCTGTGTCTCTAAGCCCATAAACAGTAGATATGATAATGAAAACATACAGGAAAAATAATACTGCCTTAGAATCATAGAATTGTTAGGGTTGGAAAGTTCCAACCACACCCCCCCCCCCCCCCCCCCCGCCATGGGCAGGAACAAAGCGTCTTCAGGCACTGTTCAAGCAGAAAAATACTGTTTATGCAGAAGCATAAAGAAAAAAAGTAGTTATTATTAGATTTTAAAACCCAATTTTTACTAGTATGACAGAAGTTAACATAAAAGGCTTAATTTTAACCAAATACCAAATTCACTTACATATTTCGTTCCATTTCTGACTGGAAGTCAACATATCTTCCAAAAATGAACTTGAGATCCTGGAATAAAAGGGTAGGTATAAGAGGAAAGCTGACAAAAAGCCTTTCTGATCAACACTTAAATTTACTGGTTTACCTACCTTTTCTTGAACTTGTTTAGCTAAATTCTTCACATATATCCTGCAATTTGGATCACCTGGCTCATAGTTTTTGAAAACAGAAAATTTTTCCATTTCTGAAAAAGAGAATGTTTTAGCTCATTTACTTACTTCATACTTTTTGCTAAGTATAAAGTAAATACATTTAATATATAAATTTATTATGATACTTACGATACTTAATACAGGATACTTATTTAAACTATTTTTTGCAACAAATGAAAGAGCTATTATGAGGTAATTTATTCTCACAGTTGTACCTTCGCTAGACAGTCTGTTTTTTTCTAGATCCCTTCTAGAAATAAATTCTGATGGTATTTCATCCTCCTCCTCTTCAGTTTCCATTTTATCATTTGAAGTAGGGGCTGGGAAAATCCTTCCAAAGCCTGTATTACTGATTTCTTCTGTGGCTGAATAAAGGTCTGAAATTTCAGCATGTAACATAGAAGTGATTTGTATGTTTATACACAAGAGGATCAACAGCAAGAAAAAAAACATACGCCTTTCAATAATATTTTCATGTAGTAGACTTTGTAAAGCAATCTGAACACATCCCAGAGAAATGTGTCTTAATCCCTGGTTTGACAAACACACCTGCTCTATGCTATATAAAATCAAGTGTACTATATATAAAGCCATAGCACACACCAGTTAAGGTGAAACTACACTTGTTGTTCCAAGACTGTATACATTTCAATGGCTTAACTAAAGAAACCATTTATTTACTCTGCATATTACTGTAAAGTAAGAGAAACACAGACTGACCACAACCCTGTAAGAAACCACCACACCTCATTGCTATTATTGCCCACCATCGTCATAGCATGTAATTTGTGCATCATAAAGGAGCTGGCAATCATTTGAATGCTGCTTTCTAAGAGCTGGAAAAGGAAAATCTGAAATCAGCTTGACACATGAAATTACACTATGTAATAATGAGAATGCATTTACAGAATATTTGCTAAAAAACACCATAAAAGAGTGCAATTTACCATCAACCCACAGATCACAGGAGAGGAAGAAATCTTCAAAATCCTCTAGATCCTTTACTGTACCAAAGCACAAAATTCTGTGCTTCAACATGGAAAAAACCAGCAAATGCGACAAGACACAAGCTGGTGTTCTGAAACAAACTGTGATATATACCGTTATGAAAAATCCAGTATAGAAGAAAGGAATCCCTGGCATAAATTTCAGCAGCCTTCCACACACTGAAACCACATGAATTTAATATTAAATACATTTGAAGTGCAAACTCTCTTACCATTATTTTTTTCCTTTTCTGAATTTATCTGAAGAACAGCTGGGATGTCAGTATTAATATGGAACTCAATTTTTTTATGACCTACACGCTGTGGCTGATCAAAGACATCTGAAGGTGACAGTGCAGGGTGCAAATTACTGTTTAAATAAAAAAAATAACTGATGACTGCGTAGTCAAATACAAGATTTCTTCCAGAGAGATTTTATGCTGCTGTTACAAATACATCAATTCCCCATTTCATAAATTTTACCCAGTATCATTCAAGTTGATTAACACACCATGAATACAGAAGGTATGGCTAGCTGTGAAAGCAAAACCAAGAACTGCATACTGCATTACAGTATACACAGGCATTTATGAAAAACTTGGTCATCACTACACAGAAATAATACACTGGTGTCTACTGTGCCACAGTGCTGCAGTTTCAGAACCCTAACTTATTCTAGAGCCAATCAATTTTATTCTTTTAGTATTACTCTTTTCATACTTTCTAATTTTCACTTTGAGACATATCCTAAACAATAAATTCAGACTGCTTGTGTCACAGCTGTGATATGAAATTGGGTTTCTTTTTTATGAAAAAGGGACTTTTGTTATTTTGATATAGCAAGAGAAACAAACACCACTTTACAGATTAAGGCTGATGAGGAGACTCAGAGCTTAAATTACAGAAAATGTGGACCTTTACAGCAATAAAACCAAGCATGAGGATAAGGGAAGATCAACTTCACTATCAAACTTACATATCATTGAAGAAGGCTTGTTTTAAAACAGCAACACTAAAGCAAACATGATACAGAGACTGTCATTTAGTAAAATAATAATCTTCTGAAAAAGTGCAAAACCCGCAAAAAATACAAACCTCTGAGGAGTACACATGGGAACATTCAGTAAGTCTTTAATTCTTCGTCTTTTTTGAACACCACGCCTCTTCGTGTTTATTGGTCTTTTAGGCTGAAGGGTTGCTAATTCCATCAACTTGGTCATTCTGTTTTAAACAAAATTTTAAAAAGAACCCAAGTGGTTTACATTTTATTTGAAAATACTCATTTTGAAAACCCTTCCCCCTTTCTGAAAGCCCCTGAAATACAGATTTTCAGAACAGTTATAAGTCTAGCTACTTTAAAACCAAATCTACATTAATAAACTAACACATAAACTGATATACACAGAGTACTTAATTCATTATAATGAGTTCAGTGATGTCACTTCCTTCCCCAAGAATGCATCTAATTAGGACACTGAAGCTGCAGAAATGCGAAGAAGCCCCAGCCTGAACCTTTTCTAATAGCACCATTTTCACTCAACAGTAGTGCTTTTTTCTAAATTCATGTATTTGTCTGAATATAGCACAGGGACTTTGATTTACTTTTTAGTTTAAAAACAAATAATATATAATGAAGAAGCAATTTTCTTTAAAGATACTAAAAAAAAAAAGCTATGATGATGCAATTCAGTCCCAAAACACTAAGAGAATCCTCAGCACACACAACCTCCCATTATTATTACTTCTAGGAACACACACTGATGTGCAAAGAACATTTTAAAATTCAGAGTGCACACATAATGCAGTAGTAGTGAGTAGTTTACTCAGTAAAGCTCTGGAAAAGCGAAGAACCCAGAAAAGAAACTAATGGTTGCTTCCTTGTATCTGCACTCTTTCTTCATTCAGAGTTTCTAATTTGTTGGGGTTTTTTTTGGTTTTGGAAATGTGAACATATGGTAATTTGCATACCATTTGGCCATGTTTCTTCTCTTGCTGTGATTCAAAACAGCACTGTCAATTTAAGTCACTCTGGAGATTCCTTAAGCATCTGGAAGGATTATCTGTACTGCAAACATTACCAGATTCCACCATTTGCTGAACTAGAAGCTAGAAAAGTATAATCACCACTTTAAAAGAGCCCAACAACTGGCAAATGACCATAACATGCATACCTCTCCTTTTCCTCCTCATTATCACTTTCATATTCTGATTCATCTCCACTAGATTGCTGCTCTTCCTCTTCAGGCAAAGGAGGCTCCTCAGGAGGAAAAGGTGGAACTGGTGGAGGTGGCACAGGTGCTGGTAAATACTCTTCATACTAATTATGGGGAAAAAATTTTAGTGTGTTTTTGATTTTTTTTAGTTTTTTTTTTTAAAGTAACTAAACATTTTAAGAAAAAAAAGCTGGTTTTCCCTTACATAATAAAAACAGCCAAAGCAATAAATGAGAACATGACAAGAAGTCTTTTTTCATGTATGTTTATAGCCATCTCAATTCTATTTTGTTAAACTTAATAATTAGTTAATAATGAAAAATTTCCACAAGAAGAAAAAAACAACAAACAAAAATCCTGCTTTCTGAAGCATAACAGTAGAGGTTTTCTTGTTTTAATTTGAGGAGTTAAAAAAAAACCCGCAACTATAGCCCTGGGTTTTTATTTTGCACTCAGCTTTAAGGACTTTCTCTGAGAAGAATATGGTCAAAACATGGGAGGAGGCCTAAGCTCCCAAGCCATCTCAGTTTCTATATTGAGCCTTCTACCACCTGTCGAAGTTACATTTCTGTTTCTATAAGGAGTGAGGACTTAATGAAAGAAATGAGTTTTTTCACCAAGACTGCAAAACCACGTGTAAGGAATTCATTATTTACAAAATCCACCTCCATTTCAAAAATCCCACTACTAAAGGTACTTTATGTACCATCAGTTCCATAAGGCACTGATGTCTTCTGGCATTGGAAATACTCTGTGCCCTTTAGAATCTGCTCTAGGAATTTTGAGGACTGACTTCTCTCCTTACTATCCTTTTCTGCACAACCATTAAATTCATAGTGCTTAATCTGGGCCAGTATCAGGCAACGAATAAAATTTCTAGAGAAATCAGTGTGAATTCATTTGATAGATTTCATAGTTTTCGTTATCAGATAGCTCCCCTTTTAGCAGTCCTGTTATGGCAAAGACAGAGCATATATCCAAATACTGTACCTAACACTACTAATGCAAGTCCTCACTTGCAGAATATTCCACTGGCAATCAGTAAAACTACTCTATCACAGCAAAAGAGCACCAAGACCACAGAGCTGGTATTTCTAGTTCCCTTCAGAAAAAGCTCTCCTCTAGAAAACCAGAAAAACTGAAGCCTCTGCCAGTTTCCCCTCAACCCTATCTCTTTGAAAAAAACATCCTGGAGATAGAGCAAGTTAAATCCAGAAGTGCTTTATAACCTCATTGGCAATCCAAATCTAATCAGAAGTGCAAAGAAACACACAAATGCAAGAGCTTAACACATCTTTGTAAGGCAGTGTGCTAATGGTATTCTTTATTTCCTGCATTTGTAACATGAAGCTATATTTTTTTTAATACTCAGTTTGAAATGTTTCAGTACTGTCATACATGTACATTTCTTTGTTCTATGAATGGTTAAGAAGATTTCTTTACAGAACTAACATGCAAATCTTTCACAATTAAATGAAGCAGTATTTGCTATCCTCTAGAGATTTCTCCAATCTAAGTTTTAACCTAGATCTCCTACCATGTTGCAAACATTTCAAATTGTGAATCTGTTTCACAGTACTCAAAATGTGTATTAAAAAAGTTACCATTGGAGGACGAGCAGTAATTGGTCCAAAAGGTGAAGGAAGGTTCATTTTATTCATAAGATGAAGTACCTGAAACAACGCAAGATAAGGAAGATCTCCTTTTAACCAAGAAAGGAATGAAAACAGTTCCCTGCCAGGTATCTAAAGTGGTAACTTCTGGCAAGTGTAAAACAGCATAATTTTAATGAAGATACAACTACACTGGTTATTAAACAATGTGAAAACCTGCACATGAGATCCAACACTAACAGTAAACATAACAACATCCTAAAAAGACTTATCAAAAAAAGTAAAGTATCCTCCAGAATGAAATTCCACGTACTCAGGTCACATCTAATTAAAGATCATATCCAGTTAAGTCTTCAGCATCAACGAAATAAGTTACTTTTGGTCAATGAATTCTTATTACCTGAGCATAGTAAAAAATTGCTATTGGTTAACACCATCACAGGAAAACTAACTTAGTATTTACTATGACAAAAAATATTTCCCTGGGTAATTAAAGGGGAAAACTGAGATGCTTCAATGTTTATACTTTTTTTTTCCTTTTGTACTTACCTGGACGTAAAATTTGGGCACGCTTGCCAAGGCATTTGCTATATTTGCTAGAATTGTACTTGAAGGTGGTGGATACAAATATTTGAGGCAAGAATTGATGGGAAAGCTGAGGCTGAGGAAAGAAAAACAAACAAACAAACCCACAAAAACAAAACCCAAGACATCTTAGCACCACTGTCACGTAATGACTGATAGTAATTAATAATTAATAAATATTAGAGGTTTAATTATTCATTACATCTGAAGTATCACTGAAATATTTCCCTTAGAACAGCTATGGACCACTTCCATTATGCCTTTAGCATCAGAGAGCAGTCCCCTAATGCATGACAGATTTACTGGGTTTAGGCACAATGAAAGCACCAACATGCAGAAAGCCTGAAGCACACAGAAACAGTCAATACATCCAAAACCAAAACCATAGCATAGCATGCTATACAAACATCATAAACTCAATGCTCAAAATGCTGGATATATTAGACCCAAAAGAAATTTATTTTTCACATAAACAAAAATGCACATGGGGGAAAAAAAAACAAAAAAAACCTCTGTAAAAGTAAGTCAACAGTATTCTCATGTTAACACTGGATACTCAAACTCTTCCTAAGAAGCAATGCATCTTCTAGCAATAGCTAGAAGGCTATTACGCAATCCACAACTTTCAAAGAACCAGTCACTACTCAACTGTGAGGGCTCCAAACTTGAAGAACTAAAATTTCTTCTTTGTGACAATTCCGACACCTATGCATGTAAAATAGCAGCCTACTATGAAACAAAATGAGCGCAGCAGGCTGCATTCTTTTTCAACAGTGCAAAACACTTATTTCAAAATACACTGTAACAGAATAAGATAATTAAGACCAAAAAAAAAACACCACTAACCCATGTTCAGGTGCAATTCCATCCTCTATTTTAACACAGCTTAGTTCTTTTTTCTCTTCTGCTTTCACTTGTTCTTCTGAACTAAAAATTAATTTAGTCTTAATTAAATGGCAAAATTTAAGTGCAGTACATAACATAGGAAATACATTTTTGAGTAAATGAGATTAAACAAAAGAAACAGATTAGTATTCTCAACATATTTTATCAATGCATTACTACAGCCATTTTAATTCTTAACAATTAATACATACAGGTAAATAAAGCAACCAAACTTCTAAAAGATATTTATGCAGATTTAAGTTAGTCTCCCATATTCAAACACTTCTGACTTAAATCTAATCAGGGAAAAGAGCTAAAATTATTTCATGTTATTCTCTGTGCAGAGGCTGTATAAAATCAAAAGTATTACATATTGGTTTGCTCATAATCAGAGAGTGGAATAAGCAACTTAAAACCTCTATATCTGATTTTAATTACACACTATCACGTAGCTTCTATCAGTTAGTTATATATTACACAGGTAAACACAAGAGCCAAACTATTCAAGTTATTTTTTTTAATTAAGTACTTGAAAGACAATAGAAACCCAAACTATCACGGCTCTTGGTCACACTAGCATTACAACTCATTGATGTTTTTATTCTTCTTTCTAAATATTACATATTCTTTAAGTATTTGAAAATACACTCAGACAATTTTATGTTTGTTCTCCTCATGATCCAAGCTAGATACATAGAAATCAGCTCCAGCTTAGAAGACTGGCTATAATATTTCAGTAATAGATGGTTATCCTAGAAGGTGTCAATTCTACTCAAAACAGAAAGAAACATCAGGCAAGCATTGTTTAAGAGCAGAAGAAAATTATAATTCTAACAAAAAAAAAAAAGGACGAAGAATTATTTTTAAACACAGGGAACCTGTGCAACAGAGAGGTCAGCTTACACAGACTGGAGTCTTGCTCTGTAAATAAAAGCAAACAGGGCTATCTGCTGTATAAAGTTTTATTAATAACTATAGGAATAAGGGCTGGAATTATTTCATGATGATACAGAATGAAACAATACTAACAGAAGGAATGCAGTCACCTATAGAACTGAACTGCCTTAGAAGTGTTAGCTGCCTGTTAACATTTCTAAATAGTTACAATTTATCTTTTTACTTAATAGTACTAGGAAAGTATCATGAACAATGCATTTCTCTTCCTTGGCCACAAACATAAGAACTAAATTATGATGCACATACCTTTTACATTTCTCCGAGACAGAAGGCTGGCTAAGTACCTGTACACTATCTTGCTCCTTTGCAAATTCAACAACTAAGGTGTGACCTAAAAGTTTCAGCTGATGCAGTCTTGACAAAGCCTTCAAATAATTGTAATAGAGAAAAGAAAGGAAGGGAAGAGGAAAAACATTAGCGTTATTTCAAAGTATAACTGTGTTTTCTTTGGTTGGTAAACCATACACAGGATGCAGCCCCAACTGCTTTAAACCAAGTCTGTGCCAACACAGACACAGTTCCGCACCATTCCTGCCTTCACAGTCCTGTTTTTATCAACGTCTTCCCTGCTAGCAGGATGGAAGATGGAAGTCGCACAGCTAGAACTGTTACAGAGACTTAGGTCATCTGAACATAGCAGCAAGACTTCAGCCTTCATAACAGTTATTACACAGCGTAGTAAATCTCTGTGATTTCAAGTAACCAACCACTTGCTTTGAACTACAAACATAAGATGACTTCCATGAGCTCCTTCCAACTCACCTTTCTTATGACTCTACAGATGCAATCATTCCATCAAATCCTTCTAGCACCTCCTGAAACAGAACTCTAATATTACATTGCCCTGCATTTTATTTTCCAGAACACCAAGTGCTAGATGATGTGCAAAACATTTTAGAGCACAACTGGCAATTAAGAAAAGTGCTTTGCTAGAATATTTAGTAACAAAATTAATACAAACCTTCACAGCTGCATTTTCACTGGGGAAAGTAGCAAAAGCAGTATGTTTCTATAAAACAAAACAAAAAATTCAATTCAAAACAAAGAGGTAAGAAACATAAAACGTATACCCACAAGTAATTTGAAGTTCAAGCTTATGAATTAGAAAGCTTCCAAAGAGTAACCATCTAACTCCCATGTGAGTCAAAGGTGAAGGATGCGCAAAAACTCCTGTACTCAAAAATTAAGACAGGAACACAAGAGTTTAAGGAATACAAGAAAACAGACGTTTGGGTTTTTTTGTTTTGGGTTTGTTCCCCCCCCCCCAGTGAGCAAAAGCTATCCTAAACTGCAAGAAAATACATATTGATAAAGAAGTTGAATCCTCTTTTCAAAAAAAGATTTATTTCAGCACCTCTCAGAAGAACATTTTCATCAAAGTAGCTCCCAAAATTATAGCTATTGCTGTGCTCTTAAAGTTTACATGGTTTACATAAAATTTTTCCTTATTTTTTGAGTTTAAAAATGCAAAGCTTTCCAAATTAGACTGAATCTTCACAGAATACACGGCTCATCTTAAATTTAACAAACATTATTACTTCACCTTGGCGCTACATGATTCGCTATTAAAAACCTAAACCATTAACACCGTTATAAGATCATCTATCAGGAAAATCATTACAATGAAATTAGTATTTTTAATACCCTACAAAAGAAAGCATGGCCCTGACACAAGGCATAATTTACCTGCAGGTCTGCAGGAATATAAGGGTCTTTCCAAACACCATTCATCACCAGATACTCATATGTTTTCGTAATTTCGGGGAGAAAAAAATACAGGAATATTTCAAAGGCAGACCCGTGAAACTGCATTCGTACACCTACCAGCAGCCCCTTTCGCAGTGCTTTTCCACAGCCTTAATCCTAACAGTAATGCAGGCCAAAGCTGAGGCCGTTGTACACAGAACTTGCAGCCTGCGGGGAGACGGGACGGCCGGGTCAGACGCTCCCCCGATCGCACCGCCCTAGGTCCCGGCACTTACCAGCCGCCCGTGGTCCGACAGGACGCGCACAGACACCGCCCCGAAGTGTTTCAGCAGATCCTCCTTCTCCGCCGCGCTCAGCTCGGCTGGCAGATGCCGCACCAGCAGCGTCCGGCCACGCCGCCGCGCCAAGCCGGGATGAAGAGGCACGCCAGGCGGGACGCCGGGATGAGGCGGGCCGGGGCCCGGGCCCACCGCCCTCACTTCCTCACAGCCCAACGCCGCCATAGCAGCACTCGCGGCCCGGAAAGGAAAACACCGAGCAAGCACGCATGCCGAGAGTTTAAGTCTCAAGTCTCGCGAGACTGGCGGCGCCTGTGGATGGGTTGTCGCTAGCGGAAGGGCGGGGCCAGCGCGCTGTAGCTGCAGGCTTGGGACTGGTGGGATGCGGAGGGAGGAGGCTAGTCAGCATGGTCCTATGTATGACAGGTTTACCAACCTCATCTTCTACGACGTGACCTCTCTGGTTGGTGAGCAAAAGGCTGTGGACATTGTCAGTTGGTACTTCAATAAAGCACTGACCCTGTGTTCCAAAGCGTCCTCCTGGAGCAACTGGCTGCTCATGGCCTGGGTAGCTGTATTCTTCACTGGGTAAAAAACTGGCCGGATGGCAGAGCTCAAAGTATGGTGGTGAATGGTGTCACATCTTGTTGTTGACTGGTCACTAGTGGTGTCCCTCAGGCCTCCGTGTTAGGGCCAGTGTTGTTTAACATCTTCATTGATGATCTGGATGAGGAGATCGAGGGCACCCTCAGTAAATCTGCAGATGACACCAAGCTGGGTGGGAGTGTTGGCTGGATCCATGGGCTGAGGCCAATGGGATGAGGTTCCACAAGGCAAAGTGTGGGTCCTGCACTTGGGCCACAACAAGCCCCTGCAAGGCTCCAGGCTTTGGGAAGAGCAGCTGGAAACTGCTCATGGGAAAGGAGCTGGGGGTGCTGGTTGATGGAGCTGAACATGAGCAGCTTGTGCCCAGCAGCCAGGAAGCCACCAGCATCCTGGCCTGTATCAGCACCAGTGTGGCAGCAGGGCCAGGGCAGGGACTGTGCCCCTGAGCTGGGCACTGGTGAGGCTGCACCTCGAATCCTGTGTTCAGCTCTGGGTCCCTCACTACAAGAGAGACACTGAGGTGCTGGAGCGGGGCCAGAGAAGGGCAATGGAGCTGGTGCAGGGCCTGGAGCACAAGTGTGATGGGGAACGGCTGAGGGACCTGGGGGGTTCAGTCTGGAGAAGAGAAGGCTCAGCAGGGACCTTATCGCTCCCTACAACTGCCTGACAGGAGGTTGTAGTGAGGTGGGGTCAGTCTCTGCTTCCAAGGAATAATTAGCAGGACAAGAGGAAACCGCCTCAAGCTGCACCAGGGCAGGTTTAGATGGAGCTGAGGAACAATTCCTTCCCCAGAGCGTTTGTGGTGGCCTTGGAACAGGGTGCCCTGGGCATTGCTGGAGTCACCGTCCCTCGAAGTATTCACAAACTGTAGACAAGGCCCTCAGTGCCATGGATTAGTGGTTGCCTTGGCTGTGCTGGGGTAGCGGTTGGACTTAAACATCTTTTCCATCCTAGCTGATTCTATGATTATAAGCTGCAGCAGCTGGCTCTGCCATTCCTCTGGCCTTTGTGCTGACAGGCAGCCTGAGCAGCAAGCTGAGCCAACCCCATGGGTCTGCTGGGCCTTGCTGGCTTGCCTTGAGCACTCTGGTATGTAGCCTGTGAGCCATTCTTTAGGGCCATCCATGTCTCTACTGGGTGATGCCTTATGTGATACACAAAATCTGTCTCAGTCAAATATTAAATAATACTCCAAAATGAGAGATGAGCCTTCTGTTCTTTCCTTCAACAGGTCAGAGCTTGTTTCCAGGCCTAACTGCTTTCTAAATACCATTCTCATTAGCCTTTATCTGGAGAGACTTTTCTTTTCCTCCTGCCACTTTACCTGAACAGCAAGGTAGTAAGATCTTTCTGGCATAAATATTAATATGCTGCTTCAGGATAGCAGATGTGTCTGGCCAAGACAAGCAGCATGGATGAAGTGCAGCCATTTTTACGGCCTGCAATTGCAGGCATTCTGCATCATGAGTTGTGAGTACAGAGGCAGTTACCAACTAGCTACTACTGAAGCCAGAGAAGCTGATCCAGACAAACCTGCCCTTTTTTCTGAGGTCAGAGGCCGTAATCTCAAAATTGGGGGTGGGGGGAAATCCCCAGACTTGACTGATGAAAGCTCAGGTCTTACCATAAAGTCCTTAAGGCCACTTCTTTTCCTGGAAGAGTCATGATGGACCTGGCAATATATATGTAGCACACCTAAAGGGTCTTAGGCCATGCTTATTTTCTGACTAAATACTGACAATCTGGGGAAAAATCTGGCCATTGTGGGTGGTCACAGTGGTCCCACTGAGCAGATTGGATGGCAGTCTTAAGTTCATCCAGATGGATTTGGGACAGAGTTGGAAAAGACTGGGGAAGCACGTGACATTCAGAAGGAATCTAGGAGAAAAGCAAAAATTTAGCAGCAGTTTCTCACAATAGATTACTACATATTTTTTGCTGTCATTACTGTAAGTTAGGAAACATCTATGGGCTTGGAAACAGGTGGAAGAATTGGCACAGTATGCAAATGTACTTTCTATCTTGAAGACACCAGCAGTACTGTTCTTTCTGAGTCTGTTGAAACTTTAAAAGTAACACTGGCAGGACTGTGTGTGGCTTGTGGTTTGTAGAACATCCAGAAAGTTTTCTGGGATATGCTGGTCAACATGCAGTTATAGCAGATGGGAGTGTCAGGATTGAAAAAGCAAGTCTATGGTGGCTGTGCTGCTACATCCTGTTTAAATTGGCCTGACTTCTAGTTCACTCCTGGGTAATGACACAGGAGACCTTTTTAGGCAGCAGGTCTATGAAACTCGTAGGCAAACTAAATATCCTTATTTCCCCTGTAGCTCCCTAGTACATTCCAGTTATTAATTTGCACATCAGTTACCAGATGGTGAAATAGTGATATAACTTTAAATGTGTTTCCTGTCAGAACTAAGAAACACTATCAAATTCCCAGTTAATATTTATTGAGTTGGTAAGAAATACAAGTTTGGGGAAAAGAAAACCAAGAAAGCTAGCTTTACACACCGATGTTTTGCACACCATAAACATAAAGACCAGTAAAAAGTTACCCACACCATAAATTTGTCCATTATTAACATCCATTCAGCAGTGGCCAAGGGCAGATACCATCATCCAAAGTCGTAGAAGTACAACTCAGCCTGTCCTTTACATTTATTTATAAAAGCATCAAATCAGTGACACACTGAACGATAAACTCGTTTAGTAAAATTTATATTAAAAAAAAAGTACTATGTAAGATTCCACTCAAAAAACATGAGTTTACTTTTGGATGGTATGAGTTAATGGGCTCAGAATTTTTTGGGGAAAGTACTTATTCGCATCCTGACAACAGGCTAAATATTACAAGAGCAGCAATGCTACTGTTTCTTGGAGCAATTATGACGCTGTTAGATCATCATCCTGATAAAGTGAGACCAGAAAGAGACTAGATGTGGAAGAAAAGCTGCAGTGTGGGATTTCTAGATCATGCTGTCATCATTATTGATCCTGATTTTTTTTAATGCCTCTTGGTATTTTTTGCTGTCTCCAATAGATGTTCCAGGCGGCTGTACACAAAGGAGCTGAGTAAGGAGACAAGTAGCTGTGTTAGCATGAAGATAAAGCCCAAGGTAGTAAGGTTTGGTTTACCTTGTCTACAAAATACTGTATATCCACATACTTAAATGAATCTCTAAGGGCAACCTAATATTTTGGAACTTCTTGTATGGCTAGAAACAGAAAGGCCACCAGAAACAGTTTTAAATGGCCCCAAAACTGGTTGCACAAACCACAGACAAATAACACAGTGTAATGTGGTCACACTCTTTCATTAATGAAATTGCATATTAGAGTTAGTGCTGCAGAACAACTGTACATTTGCATTTGCTGACTCTTATGGTTTGGCATTCATCCTTTACTGACAAAGGAAAAAAAATAAGATTAAACCAGCAGCAACTTCAGATAACCTTAATTTAAGTTTCTTCCCCAGAAAGGGCAAAAAATTTTAATTACTAAGGAAAAAAGAAAATAAAACCAAACAATACAAAAGCAGCTTGAGACATAAATGATAAAACTACTGGGGAAAATCTGATTTTCATGGTGGCAGTTCTATAAATTTCTTTATATTAATATGAATAGTGTAATGTAGCAAAGTAGCCTTAGAAATAAGGACACAGAAGAATACAGCTGACAAATAATATCTTACTGCTAGCATCACATGTGCATGTTATAGAATAACATATTCATGGACAGAAAAACAACTGGGCAAGAGCAATTGCAGCCAGAGAGAGGAGTAAGAATGTTAGAGGTTCAACTCTGCAGACACCAAGATCAGTGTCAGGAGGTACTAGAGCAGAGATTTCCCTGCAGCCGATAGTGAGGCAGGCTGACCTCTTGCAGCCCATGGAGGTTAACAAGGGAGCAGATATCCCCGTGCAGCCCATGGAGGAACAGGTATCCCCCTGCAACCTGTGAAGGACCCCACACCAGAGCAGGCGGGGATGCCCAAAGGAGGCTGTGACCCAGTGGGAAGCCCACACAGGAGCTGGCTCCTGGCAGGACCCATGGCCCTGTGGGCAGAGTAGCCCACACTGGAGCAGGTTTGCTGGCAGGACTTGTGACCCCATGAGGGACCCATGCTGGAGCAGTCTGTTCCTAAAGGACTGCACCCTGTAGGATGGATTCACATTGGAATTCATGGAGGACTGTCTCCCATGCAAAGGAGCCCCCACTGGAGCAGGGGAAGAGTGTGAGGAGCCCTCCCCCTGAAGAGAAAAGAGCAAAAGAGAGATCTGATGAACTGACCACAACCCCTATTCCCCATCCCCCTGTACCACTGTGGGAGGGATTATAGAGAAATTGTGAATAAAGTTAAGCCTGGTCAGAAGAGCAGGGGAGGTTTTTTCAAATTTATGTTTATTTCTCATTATCCTACACTGGTTTGATTGGTAATAAATTATTTTCCCAAAGTCGACTGTTTTGCCTGTAACTTCAACAGCTGGGTGGTGTCCCTGTCCTTATCTGGACCCACAAGTCTTTCATTATGTTCACTCCCCTGTCCAGGTGAGAAGGGGAGAGATAGAGAAGCTTTGGTAGGCACGTGGGGGCCAGCCTGTGTCAACCAACCACATGTGTATGCTTAGCTATTAAGCGTACACATAACCTCAAAGAGTCTTCAAAATGATGGTTAAATGTCATTTCACTTGACTTGCACATTTTGTGGAGGATTTTATTTCCATTTGGGGTATATCTGAATACAGTTAAAGGAAAAGCAAGTAAGACTACATGTTGTGAACAGAGAAAGTGCATATTTTAAAAAACCTCATGACATGTAGCTGCTTTCCCTACAATGCTCCTTGAAGTGTAAGTATCAATTTTCCTTATGCTTTTATGTCTGAATCAAGTACCAAAACAATGCAAAATCCATAGAATTCTGCTTTTTGTATTTGATCACTGGATCGTGCTGTGACTCTTATTTGCAAACGATACTGTGCTGTTAGCATTATGGTGCTATCCTTTCATTTTACAGAACTCTGCAGCATTTTCGTATATGAAAAATATTTTTCCTTCTTACATGCATTGTAGGTCTTACTGTATATAGACTAGTTATATTTTCACAGAATCCCAAGGGTTGGAAGGGACCTCAAAAGATCATCTAGTCCAACCCTCCTGCAAGAGCAGGGTAACCTAGAGTACATCACACAGGAACTTGTCCAGGCGGGCCTTGAATATCTCCAACGTAGGAGACTCCACAACCCCCCCTGGACAACCTGTTCCAGTGCTCTGTCACTCTCGCAGTAAAGAAATTTTTCCTGATGTTCACATGGAACCTCCTATGCTCCAGTTTACACCCATTGCCCCTTGTCCTGTCACTGGACATCACTGAAAAAACCCTAGCTCCATCATCCTGACACTCACCCTTTACATATTTGTAAACATTGATGAGGTCACCCCTCAGTCTCCTCTTCTCCAAGCTAAAGAGTCCCAGCTCCCTCAGCCTCTCCTCATAAGGAAGATGTTCCACTCCCTTAATCATCTTTGTGCCTCTGTGCTGGACTCTTTCAAGCAATTCCTTGTCCTTCTTGAACTGAGGGGCCCAGAGCTGGACACAATATTCCACATGCAGTCTCACCAAGTCAGAGTAGAAGGGGAGGAGGACCTCTCTTGACCTACTAACCATACCCTTTCTAATGGACCCTAGGATGCCATTGGCCTTCTTGGCCACAAGGGCACATTGCTGACTCATGATCATCCTCCTATCCACCAGGACCCCCAGGACCCTTTCCCCTTCACTACAGTCCAGCAGGTCAACCCCCAACCTGTACTGGTACATGGGGTTGTTCTTCCTCAGATGCAAGACTCTACACTTGCCCTTGTTGAATTTCATCAAGTTTCTCCCCGCCCAACACTCCAGCCTGTCCAGGTCTCGCTGAATGGCAACACAGCCCTCTGGTGTGTCAGCCACTCCTCCCAGTTTAGTATCATCAGCAAACTTGCTGAGGGTACACTCAGTTCCCTCATCCAGGTCGTTCATGAAAATATTAAACAGCACTGGTCCCAGCACCGACCCCTGAGGGACTCCAGCTAGATTCTGCCCCACTGACCACTACTCTCTGCCTTCTTCCTTTCAACCAGTTCTTGACCCACCTCACTACTTGATCATCAAGCCCACACTTCCTTAGCTTATCTATGAGGGTGCTGTGGGAGACAGTATCAAATGCCTTACTGAAATCAAGAAAAACCACATCTACCACTCTACCATCATCCAGCCACCTAGTTACTTCCTCATAGAAGGCTATAAGGTTGGTCAAACATGACTTCCCCTTGGTAAAACAATGTTGGCTGCTCTAAACCATGTTGGCTGCTCTTTTATACATATACATCACACATCAGCAGCTCTTTCTCCTGATACTGAAAATTTCACATGATTCTAGAAGCTGTGCATTTATGTTTTGTCCATAGATCCAGATCCGGACTGCCCTGAGTAAAGATTTTTGCAAAAAGTGGAAAGTATACTGAGAAGAAATATGATATTTTTAATTCAGATTTGATTTTGCTTTATCTGTTCTACATAATTATTTGGAATGGTGTTTTACTTTGGTTTATAATTTTAATTCCAGATGCAGCTACAGCATGAAGGGTGACATTTCTGTTTTGCAACTCTTGTTAAAAATTATCTTCTCTTACTTAATTCCATTGGCATTATTTCTGACATCTGCTGTCATAAATAATTTCCCTTTTTATATTAAGAAGGGCAGTGGTTTGATCCACACTGTTGGGTCTCGTAGCCAAGAGCTCCATTAAACTTTCAAAGATGACATCATTTTACTAATTATTTTCTCAAAGTGATTTCAAAAGAGCAAGCTTCTTCCACATGAGGTAATTGTTTATCACCGTTTGCCATTTTTATGAACTCCTATGCACACTTTTCTGCAGTCATTCTTCCATCTTCTTATGGGAAATATTAACTCCCATAAGGGTAAACTGATTGCAGCAGACAGGCTGCCTCCTGTATAGGAGTGTTAAAGGCATGGCTCCATTCAGGTGATCTCCATATGTCAAAAACAGTGCAGGAATGAAAACAGGTTACACAGCTCAGAACAGCCTGTAAGTTAGGTCAGCACCTGTCAGCTCCAGTGTAAAAGAGGTTTGGAACTAGCTTAATATCAGCCTTTCCCACTTGTAGGCTTGCGTGTAACCTACTTCCACCAGTCAGAGATCTGGATCCTATTTTCAATATGTAAGCAAGGAAATTACACTCTTTGAGATAAGCAGTACACAAAGCCTGTATTGGCCTTCCTGAAATAGCATCTCCTGGTCACACTGGGGTCTAATTGGGAAACGGCTACACTGCACTACAATCTCACCTTCTCCCTAGCTTTGTTATATCCACAGCAGGCTCCAAGCTGAGGTATAACTTAACATTGTTTTAAAAAGTGAGCTTCCTTTTTACAAACCCAGTAACAATTATACTGAAATTGAGCTCCTGTCACAATAGGCATACTAACTCTTTTCTTGGTGTATGTCTTCACTAAATTACTTCAAGGACATACATGTCCTCATCTGTCCTTTATATAAAGGACATCAAGTTGCAATAGTTATGCTAAATATATAGGATATTGCTCATTTTACTTCCAGGCATAAGTTTATTGGCACCTTCAAAGACATCCAAACCTGCCTTCCAAAAAAGTTATTATATACTTATGTAGGCAATTAGCACATGAAGTAAAAGTCCTTAAGTGAAAAATTTGCCATTAAGATCTGTTGAAAATTCCATGCCACTAGAATGACAGTGTTAGGGACTTCAAATCTACAGAGCATGCTTATACAGCTGCAGCATGTGTGGAAGTAACACAATCTAACAAGGCAGCACTACATAAGGCTTTCTTCAGGCTTAACCAGAGGTTGGTCTTAGACTCTTTTAAGAGACCAGAAGCAAAGACTGAAGCCCATTTCTTCCACCCCACCACTGAGCAATTCAGACCCTTGTTTTGCTAATTGTCCCACTGATAGCCAGGTACTGCACAAAGTATTTATTCAGTGAGGACATCACCATTTTACAGCATTCGACCTGGACTTTGTCTGATCTTAAAAACTATTAGCGTACAATTGTAAGGATTAAAACTGAAACAAGAGATTTCATCATCAGAATTTCCAGTTACATAAATCCATATATTTCCCAAACCCTGAAGAGTCTTGGGTTGTACAGACTCCTATTTTGTTTGAGTATGATTTTAATTTTTTTAACTTTGTGTCTCAACTGTTTTTAAATGCTAGTAAGTATATCCATTTCTACTCTGAGAACTTCATGGGTCAGGAGAAGCTTTCCTGCTGTAAAAAGGAATTTTGATGACTTCAAGAAGTCATCGGGAGAAATACTTGAATTACAGCAATTTAAATTTACTATATATTGGAGAAGAACATGTATATGACATACTCTGGTCTAGGGAACCACTGAAATTTCCTACTCTTAGTTCCTTAACTTGGGAGAAAGACAGGACATACTGCTTTTTTTAATTCTAAAGTAGCCTTTGTGCCTGCTGTTATAAAAATAAAGTGGTGGAACAAACAGGAACAAGGCATTGTTGAACACAGCCTTGGGAGCATAGCAGTCAAGAGGTCATAATAATAGCAATTTTGATAGAATGATAATGGAGAGAGATTTGGAACTGTAAAGACATTGGCTGCTGTAGTTTGCCTCCTGTCATAGTCATAGAAAAAAAAAAATGTATGGAAGTCATACCTAGCACTTTCACTCTCTTCACCTAGTGGAAGAAAACTACACGGTCTCATGTTCAGAAAAACGTTTGAAAAAATGCAAAAATGAATATGGGGGTGAGTGGTGGAATTTTTTCCATAGAAGCCTGCTACTGTGACAAGAGGAATAGGAGGAAGCTTCTTGAGGCTTCTTTGGTGCTCCGAGTCACTATTCCCAAGAGATGTGCAGAGGCAAAGCCACCCACTGTATGGCCTTAGTCAGGTGCTGTTGAGGGTTTGTTTTGCAGGGGATTTTTGTTTAGGGGTTTTTGGTTTTTTTCAATGTGTGTTCTGTTTGCAAATCAATTAATGTGGAAATTACACCACATTACTGAGCAAACAAGGCCTGCAAACAAGGGTTTGCAAAATCTACTAGTAATGTTTCTGGTTTAGTAGCCCCTGATAGGAGGAGCAAAGCAGTAGATCCTTATTTACACTTTGCGTAAGCTTCACTTACTGGAAGTAATTTATCTGTGCTGAAAGAAGCGTGTCTGTCAAACAGTACATTAACTGGAGAATGTTATTCAGGCCCATTACTCATTCCAGATTCTTCGCCCAGAGGAGAAACAAACCAAAACAAACATACACACAAAACCCTCAACACATTGGCATTTTCCTTTCTATTCATTCAGC